CTCGGGTGGGTTCCTCTGGGAAATTCGATTTCCAAAAAAGCACAGCACCGACAGAAGTTACAGAGTTACAGAATATTATATATATACACACACACACACACACATATATATAAATACAGAGACAATATAAATAAAATATACGAAGGGGATAAATAGAATAAATAGGAATAAAAAATAAAAATACAAGTGAATTGCACATTTCAAGTATTGAGTCTATTGCACTGTTGACTATTTACAAAAGTATTGCACAAAAGGTATTGCACAGTGAGGTGAAGAGGCACTACAGCTTAGTTGTTCCCCCCTCCTTTGTCCTCCTGTTTCCCCTCCCTCTCCCCTCCAGAGAGGAGTTAAACAGTCTGATGGCGTGTGGGACAAAGATCTGTGTTTAATCTGTTTAATCTGTGTTTAAATGAACATATACAAACAATCATCCTTGGCTGCATATTTAATTATAGAAACATTGAATACCTTCTCAGGTGCTTCAAGAGTTTGGGGTATATTACCCATTCATACACACCATTCAGTGAGAGCTCGGTCAGCATTGCTGCCAACTCGATCTCGGTGGGTGTTGCACTTCGTCAGGCCTTCCCTTTTGTCACAGAGTCTAGTCATAATTTTTATGAACTGTAGGGGTAAGTGGAGGAAGGCTTCCGTTTGGTAGGCTCAGAATTTTATCTCTGCTTTTGTGGATGCTGTTGGCCTCATCAGGTGATGACCTCCACACTGAAGTGGTCTGCAGAACAGTTTAAAGCAGCAGAGATGAGAATTAGTCCAAGTCTGAGGCAGGAAAAGGCTGGAGTGCTCATTCTGGGTCAAGGACAAAATGTATGTCAGGGCCTGATACCCGATGATCTATGTTCCTGTTCCACGAGCTTTGGTTAGTGACCAAAATAATTAGATTGTGGGCAAAAGAGGTTGAAATCAGCTTGGAAGGGTGTCTGGCCTCTCCCCTTAGAGATAGGGTGAGAACTTCAGTCACCCTCAGCTGGCCTGGAAAAGCCTCAGTCCTCCCACCTGGATAAGTTGGAGGAAGTGTCTGATGAGAGGGAGCTCTGGGCTACTGTGCTTAAGCTGCTGTCCCTGTGACCTGGCTGCAGTTAAGTGGAAGAAAACAGATGGATAAACGGCATGGAGATAAAAAGGTGGACGAATATGCTAACCCTGCAGCCACCTTTCATACCAACAATGGACAAGGAAGCTAAATGTTTCTTCCCCACACTGTGACAGCTGAACTGGTACGTGGATAAAGCCTTAATGAATTTAAACTGGTGCCTTTGATCATTAAAGGCGATTTGTTCCAACAGACAACTTTTCATATCTGACGTCATCATTTGGTTCTGAATACTGAACCTGTGCTCTGCTGCCATGATGGCGACTAAAATTCAAACATTATGTTTTTGCAGACCACCACCAGGGAAAATGATTCCCAACCGTCATGCCTCGCTCCCACTATAACGGAAGTTCACTTGCTTCCACCATTATAACCAAATCTGAGTGCCTAATCCACGCTCACAGGTTCTTGTCAGGCACACTCTCAGTGAAGTGCAAACCACAGAGGACAAGCAGATATAAAAACAAAATGGTGCAATAACACTGTGTGTGTGTGTGTGTGTGTGTGTGTGTGTGTGTGTGTGTGTGTGAGAGAGAGAGGGACAGACAGACAGAAAGGGAGTCGGCTATTTCAGTGCATTATAATTTCAGAGAGTGCAATGAGTCAGCAGAAGAGGAGAGCAAATGAGGAGAGGGTTTAAAAGAGAGAGACTACTAGGGAGGATGACAGATGGCTGGTGTAAAGGAGAGAGGAAAGGAGGCAAACTAGGCAAACTACAGAGCAGTGCTGAATAATATCCAGAGTCCAGAGGGCCCTTTGAAACAGCAGGGTGATGAAACCTCCTGTGCTTGTTGGCAGTGGAACAGCCCAGGGACCACGCAGCTCTGAGCGCCACAGCCAAGGTCTTACATAACAGGCAACAGCGCTGAAAGCTCCCATTCCAGCACCTCTTAAAGGTGAAGGCACATCAGCCACGAGCCAAAAAGACGGACAAACGCGCCTTTCTAGCTGCACATCTACGGTTAATGTTACATGTTAGTTACACTTGGAATGGAAAAAGTGTACGAACCTAAGATAAGAAAGAAGAACGTGAGTTTGAATATAAAGCTGCACAGTGTTCAATAGATGTTGTGAAAGCATATTTATACAGCTCCTTCCACTGTCATTCAACCTGCTCTACAATATATAAGATTTAAAACGTATCACAGCCCCGTGACACAGCTACCAATACATTTGTCACCATTACAAACACACATATATGTATCTACATACATAGGAAGAAAATATAAAATCCCCCAAGCCTGAAAAACAAAGAACAAATCCATGTTTACATTTTGTAGAGCTGGGTGAAAAACCCAATAAAACAACATCCTGCTGCTTTGTTTTGGTTTGCTGTCTTCTTCAGTTTAAAGTATCGCTGTCCACAGTGTCTCAATGGAAACACTCGACGCCATCTAAAGGTCTTTGCACACCTATAGTTCGTTACATTTGGTCAGTTGATAAGTTTGTAAACTTGTAGCTTTATCCCAGGGTTTTCTTCTCAGGGACAAAAACAGAAAAATGTGTCACTACACACCACATTTAGTCCTCGTATTGGTCAGATTTGTCTGGGGCAAGAGAAAGAAAGGCGGGTGCTGTGTCCCAGAATGCAAAGCATCCCTGGCTACAGGATGGCATTGAGCTAAAATACACCAGATACCTGGTGGACAACTCAAATCCCATCACACTATAAACCAACCGCTCCACAGACCACGTCCTCCGAAGGGTCTCGGTGTGGCTCTTTTGGTCCACATCAAAGTGCAGTCCCCACGTTCACAGGTAAATATGGTCTTTAGTGCTGTTATAGTGTTGCACACCTAATACTGACTTTTACTGCTGAGCCTTTTTATGGGCTCAAAATGTGGTCATAAATATTTTGTACTTGTAAATCAGGATTTGTATGTGTAAAAAGATTTGTGTGTGGACTTAGCCAAAAAAACCCTGCAAGTTACAAGTACGAATTCTGACCCTATTTTTCTTCCTTTCATCTGATTGGTCAATGTCATGTCAATCACAAATGTAACTATCCAATCAGAGAACAGATGGGTTTGGCTGTCGGAGGGGCGCTTTTTTGAACTGCAGGTCTTTGAAGGGAATAAATGCAGTGTTGCCAACATAGCGACTTTGTCACTATATTTAGCGAGTTTTCAGACCCCTTAGCGACTTTTTTGCTAAAAAAGACGTGAAAGCGCGTATCTCTTTTACTCTCAACAAGCAGCGGGTGCTGTAACGCAGTTAGTTCTTCTTTTACTGTTATGCTGTTTTGTGGATCACAAGGTTTAAAACTACTTATAAACACACACAAACACAAAGTAACTCCACCAGAGCGCCTATTTCGGGTCACTTGCCGGTCCAAGCCCGGGTAAAGGTGCAGGGTTGGAATTGTGACATTAAAAAAAACAATAATTGCTAAAAGAAATTTAATTTGTAGTTCTAAATAAACTCTAAATGCATTTAGGACATTTTTACTCACTTTATGTCTCTTCCACGATGTTATTTCTCTCTCCAACAACATAGGTTACAATTAGATTAGCATTACCAATTATGCAAATTAGGCGATGACGTCATTTAGCGACTTCTAGCGACTTTTAGGACAACCAATAGCGATTTTCCTTACTGAGGAGTTGGCAACACTGAATAAATGCCCTTTTACATGCCTGCCCAGCGTTTTCCTTCATCACCACGAAGGAAAACAGTCTGTGGTTGTCTGAGTTTGGTGATTTTTTGTGTCACAGGTTTACGTGCTTAATACAGGGACCTCCAGAGCCTTTTCAACAGCGCTGCGGACCTCGGGAGAGGGGGCAGTGTTGTGGAAATGGCACAGTCTTCACTAGTGGGGATAGTTACAAAGCCTTCTTCATTTTGAATTAGCGATACGTTTTTATTGAACATTTGAAGATAAAAAAACAGAAACTCTTGTAGAGGACATAAAGTCAGAGATAGAAACGACAAGGAGCAGGTGAATCTAGTACAGGTAGAGCTGCCGAAAAACCCCACAGAGCTCAGCAGCCAGCGCAACAAATTCTGGATCCTTGGCCTTTAGCTAGCAGTTAGCATTAGCAGCACATGCTGCTTCCGATGCAGTGTTGCCAACTCCCCAGTAAGGAAAATCGCTATTGGCAATTTTTGTTTTAATGTCACAATTCCAACCCTGCACCTTTACCCGGGCTTGGACCGGCAAAAGTGACCCGAAATAGGCGCTCTGGTGGAGTTACTTTCTCTGTGTGTGTTTATAAGTAGTTTTAAACCTTGTGATCCACAAAACAACATAACATTAAAGAAGAACTGACTGCGTTACAGTCAGTGCGGGAGCAGCGGCTTCACTCATTTGCAGTTTGGACGCAAAGATGTGAACATCTCCTACCCTGATAGCAGCTGCGTGAGGACTATCCTCCGCCTGTGAGCGCTTTGGCACGGGTGAGGTGCCCACGGCAGCACCTGCTGCTTGTTGAGAGTAGGAGCGATGCGCGCTTTCATGTCAAAAAGTCATTATAAATAAGTCTCCAATAACACCAGAAAAAGTCGCCAGATTTGTTGCTAGTCGCTTTTTAGAATAAACGAACAAATATAGAAAGGATTCATGGACATTATTGTAGAAAGTTGAACACTTAAAAGGAAATTCTGTTACTAAGACTTCATAAAAAATATTTATAATGATCGATTTTATATGTGGAGGACGCAGACAGTCATAGTTTTCCATCAGACGGAGGGACTCATCTATTCTCTACAGCAGCGGTCCCTAACCCCCGGGCCACGGCCCGGTACCAAACGACTCACAGACCGGTACCGGGCTGTGAGAGTTGAGGCTAATAATTAACTCGGTTTCCCTGGGTCTTTGCCGTGTTGTAGTTGTGTGTCTTATTTTGAAAGAAAGGTTTACACGTTACCATAGCGACCAGAGCGCATTATGGAGGATGTTACTCTCAGTCTTGACTGGCTAATAAAGTTACACCATTACACAGTTAATTCGCGTTTATTGTTATATTTACAAAATACCACCGTTTTTGTCGTATCATGTTATTTTGTTGCATTTATCCGCCACACCGTGAAAATACTGTCTGACGTTAAACCGGCCAGTGGAGCAGCGAAGGTTGGGGACCGCTGCTCTACAGCCGTAATCAATCCCGGCCCTTTCAGTTGTAATGAGGCTTGCTGTTTACGCTTCAGTGCCAGGCAGTCAGCAACAAGGTGATCCTTTAATAACAGTATTCACCATCATGTGGACGTGAGGGGGTCTCACGACCAGACTCAAGCCTCGCACGGCGCAACTCGACATTAACGTCACCTTGTGTTCATTTACGAACATTATTCATCTCTCGGGTAAGGATGCTTAAAATCCTCCAATAGCATTAGCTCACGAGGTGACTCATAATCATCATTAACTGTCTAATTAGTGACCTGAGCTGTAAAGCAGGGCTGGGAGAGCTGCGTTCACATGTTGGCGCCATACTCTGCGCCCTTCTCTAAACAAACGCTTCTTATAGCAAAGACACTGTCCTTCATTTCAGCTAAACTTCCACTCGAAGACGTTCAAACGATGCCTGGAGCGCAAAAGACCGCAGTACTGCCAGGTGGGCGTGTCTCAGTAGCTATGCCATGAAAACTACACAGAAAAGCCGCACGTGAAGTCAACGCGAAGCATGCGCATGCGCCACGGCCAAAGGCGCTGAACGTTCGAACCGACGTCACGTCAGGTCCTGATGGTCAAAAGTACACAACTATCCAGATCTAGTGTGAGGACGGAGAGTGAAAGATTGGAAAAAGTGATCATTTGTGCAAAGCTGTCGCCAAAACGTGAATTCACGGACGAGATTGTGGAAACATGAACGTGGTAGGGCTCTGAAAAATTGATCAGACCACCTCTCATCAATATTTTAGACATTTTGAAAATGCAATAATTGCAATGATTATATGTGAGAAGCTTAGTGGTACTGGTGGACTAACTGTTACAGAAGCATCCAAAATGAGCACCAATACTGTTTGTGCAGCTGTGACAAAAACCTTACATTGGCTGCTGGTCTAATTCTTGTTATTTTGGATGTGTAACGCCTGCTCCCTGACATCTGTCTGTTCTTTCTAGATCCCATTAGATGAACGTGCTGAACCGAGGTGCAGTCATCTCAGCGTGCCTCTGTTTAGATTTGGAGACATTGAACGATGCCTCAGAAACTATTTAGACGATTTATCGCTCAGGTAAGTCACAAGCTCAAAGTCAGCGAGACAGTTACCAGCATACACAGACATATTCACTGGTTACAGGTTTGTTTCGCTCAACCGTTCTCAATGTTTTTCTTTCAGACAGTGGACGGCATTAGCCACCGATGACGTCTCCTCGGATGTCGTCGATCTGCTGAGCGAGATGTGCTGAGCACTCATAGGGCACATTAGCACCGTAGTGTATAAAGTCATACGCCGACAGGTTTCATGCTGCCCACATCGCCATGATCGTGGAGACAAAGAAAGCTCCGCTGACCGGTAAATCTAAAGCTTGCTTTATCAAACAGTTTCATTCAGTCTTTCTTCTTCTTAGACGTTTTACATGAGATGGTTCATCGGGTAATCCTGGTGACGGAGGGGTTTTTCAGAGGACACAGCATTGCTTCGTTTACATCACGTGTGAAGTCGTCCATGTGGTTTCTTTTAATGACGCCTGTAGATTTGGACAAAGCAGTGATAGTGTGGGAAGATGACTACGTTTCTCTTCTCTCCCTTTTCAGGATGAAGGTTGAACCTCTGCTTGATGGGTGCAGTGACTGCAGGGTGACAGAGGATGATATTCAGGCCAGCCTCAGAAACATCTTTCATTACTGCTTCGGTTGGGTCTTGGGTTTTGGGCAACGGCGGTCTTGTGACTCAGACAAACTACTGACTTTATTTTCAGTGTCGATTGCAAAGAACGTAAACTCAGCCCTGAGTCGTATCACAGGGTCCACGTCCTTGCAATCAGATAGATCCACATCCCCAACAAACTTTGTTGGGATGGTTCACAGTGTAGCGAACATTTTAAAGGACTTTACAAAGACCTTAGCTCCCCCTTTTGTAGATGGTGAGAGTCGCAGCTACAGCATTGTTGACTCGCCAAACTCTGAGGAAGATGACGACTTTAAACCAGAGTCTGCAGAGACTTTTAAAAGCACACAGACTCCAGCTTGTGTAGGTGAGGGAGATGTGGGTAGCGAGGGCAACAGTGATGCATTTCAAATCACTGATGTCCAAAATCTTGACCGTGAGAGCTCAGAGAGTGAAGAAAAATGTAGCGACGCCCCGCAGTGCTCGTCTGGGGCGCTTCCTACGCCCGCAGAGACCGATACCTTTCTCACTTTGTGTCTTGCAAATTTAGTCGCTCACGTTTCTGAGAAAACACAAACAACTGCTGTAAAGCTGAATTTTCAGCAGATAGTGACTGATATAAGAGAGAAGATTGGGGGAGACTTGACTCCTCTAAAAACTGTAAAAAACTTGTACATCATAATGTACAAAGACCTGTGTCGCATATTTGGATCCAAATACGTGCTTCAGTTTGTGATGGAAAAGGGTGACGCGACTTTTGTAGCAGCCGTTGTGGAGCTATTAAAAGCAGAGCTAAAAGCATCGAGCGGCTCCGGTCACGCGCTGAGACGTTTAGAAAGTAACAAAAGCGTTTCTCCAGCCAGTGAGAACAAAACGCAACAATCTGCCAGTGAGGACAACGCACAAAATGGATCCTCAGGTTCCCAGAAAGACAGGCTGAGAAACTGTGTCGTTAGGGCCCTCGCTTCTTTTTGTAGCTCTTTGAGGAGGCTGTTCAGAAACAGAGTGACAGAGTGATTATCTTCATAATTACTCACAGAATTTGCTTCTTAATTTGGAAATAAAATGAGCAGAAAATGAAACAAATGTGTTTGTCAGATCATTTAATTGTTAAATGTGTATAATGGTTTGTAGTCTCATCAGTCACAATGTAGAGACAATCGCACAAACTCGATTTAGTCAGAGCACTTTGAGTTGGTTTTGTCATTGTAGGTTAAATGTAGATATTTATTCTAGATATTGGGCACAAAGGCGTCCTCAGCTCTGTAACAGAGAGGTGTTGGCTCAGTGTGGAAATGTCCTGATGACATCAGTACTTTTGATTCTAGCCTGACTGATCAAGTTCCAGTTAAAGGGTTTTGACTGTCTTGAGAGACGGCACATTGTAGACAGAGACATATTCCTAACTGTAAAACTCAAGAAACAGTCTGAGGCTACGTTCACTCTGCAGGTCTTGATGCTCAATTCAGATTTTTTTGATCAAACGCGCTCTAGTGTGAACGCTCAGAGCGGCCGCGTGCACAAAAGAAGACGTCACACACGACGCTCTGTTTAGACCCAGAGCAACAGGATGTGTGACTGATGGCCTTAATGTAAAGACTTCAGACTTCACGTTTCCCAGTTTTGCTTTAAGTTATAAAGTTTTGTTATTTATGTAGCCCAGTGGCAAACAGATGGAATTAGAGACTGTTTATTGTAATTATTATTAAAGGTGTTTTATTTTGTTCAGTTAAAAGCACTCATGATTGGAGAGAGACTCTAAAGAAAAAATCCAAATTATTTTGTATGGAATTGCATTATTTGTGTTATTTATTTATTTATTTTGTTTCTCAAAGGTTATTTTTTGACCTGGATACAAATGCAGTCCAACCAATGGGATTGTTTGTCCCGCCTTGTTTTTCATGTTTGGTTGCGCTGCTAAGGCTGCTTAGACCACACGCGCCATAGCAGTACCTGTGGGGAAAACGTGGTAGCTGTTGAAACAGCGAAGCTGTTGGTGTCTGCTTGATTAGCCGCCAGATTTGGATAGCCGAAGCTAGTTTTATGAATACGAAGTGCTTTGCACTGGTGAGTAACGAAACTGTTATAGCCGCTGATCGGCATCCTGAAATGTTAATGTTGTTCGCTTCAAAAAACAAACGCTAATGGTGACGGTACTATGCAAGTAGCTAGCGAGTGTGCTAAACGCTCACTCCCGTTGTTAAGCGTTAGTTGAGAACTTATTAGCTGTTGTTAGGTTAAGGAAAAAACAGTATGTCTATCTGTTGTATTGAAATGTTTTATTGTGTTACTTTTATTCATCACTGTTGTTACTTGACCGTGAGCAGAGTATATTGAGTTTGCTGCTTTTAATGAGCAGTGTGAATTGCTTTAATGATTGGTGATAGCTACATTGCCATGTAATGAAAACGTTTAGAATTTGATTAGTTGTACAACATTAGAAATTGAAACACATTTTGTTCATGATTTATACTTTAAACAGAAGTGTTAGTTAAGTGTGAACCGTGTTCATTTGAAGTAATTCTGACCTCACTCTTAGGTCAGGTTTTTTGAGTTGGAGAAAGGAGCCGAGACTCCTCGGAGAACATTGGATTACAGACTTTGTGGAAATCCGCAGAAGAGGAATAATTTTCCATTGCATGGCGAGCCACAGCCCATTTGGAATTGAATCTTGAAGTCTGGTTGCCTGAACTGTGGTAGGACAAAACAGTGCAAACCATACATCGATCGTGGACTGAACTCACACCAATAACTCACCAGATCACCAAACAGGCCTGATCTGGATCCTATTGATACTTTAAAAGACCCGGGTCTAACATTCTTTTCTTTTTTTATTTTGGGTATCTGTGCGCGCACACACAATTTTGGTTGTTATTGTAAAGGCAATACAGTGCACAAATTTCAAATACAGTTGAACTATTGCTTCATCATTTGCAGTTGTGTTTTCATTGTGGTTACCCATCCTCTGGGCTCCTGTCGTTCCTGAAATCTTCTGATTTGCCCATTGTTTATATATTTTGTTACATACTGGTTACATTTACATTTGTCCTAATAATGATCCTTACTGCTGTTTCAGAGGAGCGCTGCTTCTAGCTGCAGATTTCTGTCAGAATCTGCAGATTATACAGTACAAAGAAAATGTTCACGTTTCTCCAACGCTGTCTTCCCAGCAGTTTCCCTGGATAGAAGCGTTCACCATGTCGGGCGCTGATAGTCGGCGTCTGTCTTGTGTCGGTGACGTAAAAGACGGATTTAATGCGACGTGACCATCAAACAGCAGTCGCTTTCTGAAACATCAGATATGTATCGGATTCAGCACCACATACCAAAGTGACCCAGATCGGATTTGAAGATATCGGATTTGTGCCGTTCACACCGTCACACCATGATTGGATAGATGGGTCGCAGAGGGTCAAAGAAGTCGGATTTGATGCGCTTTCCCCTGCATCCGATGTGAAAGGACCTTTATGCTGCGCACTGTGACTCACAGCAATGGTCCCGGGTCAGCCCAGACTTTGTGTTAAACTAATCCTAAAATAATAACGGTATTTCTAACCACTGATATAGCACAACTTTATCCTTTCAACAGCTGCTGAAAGTTAGGGGACCTAGCTGCTATCGGATATTTATATAGAGATCCTCCAGCTTCAAACTGTATCACCCTTCAAGGACCTGCAGTCCAAAAAAGCACCCCTCCGACAGCCAAACCCATCTGTTCTCTGATTGGATAGTTACATTTGTGATTGACATGACACTGGCCAATCAGATGAAAGGAAGAAAAATAGGGTCAAAACTTGTACTTGTAACTTGCAGGGTTTTTTTGGCTAAGTCCACACACAAATCTTTTTTACGCACACACAAATCCTGATTTACAAGTACAAAATATTTATGACCACATTTTGAGCCCATACCTTTTCATTAGTAAGGATACGCTTCACAGAATATGACAGACTTCACTGAAACTTTCAGGACTGAGCACTGAGGTGGATGAACACATCAACTGTTGACCATTTGTTAATACCAACAACTACAACTACTACTAGAATTATGATCATTATTATACAGTATTGTAGAGATATACAAAGGGGGAAAGTGAGTTTATTTATCGTTGATTTATTATTATGCCTCCTCAACAGGTGAACTGAGCATGTGCAGTACAGACAGAGGCTGTGATTATATAAACTGTGATGGACATCTTTCACAAAGATGGGGCAGACTTGTTGAGGTGCAACCTTTGCTCACAGATTTGAGCAGATGACCCACAGACTGTAAGGCTGCTGCACAGCTTTGAATTCCCCACACAAAAGCATATTTGCAGTTGTGCTCTGGCATTGTTTAAGGGCGTGTGATATTCACCTACTTGTTTATTTAAAAAGGTAAACGGTGTCCTTTTAATCTGACTGCTTTGGCTAAGCCTTCTCTTTAACTCTAACAGTAACTCCATTACAGCCTGTGCTAGAAACACAATTCAGAAAGACGATTTTACTGCACATCACATCAGGTAAATGTTTAACTTTATGTGCTAGAGAGAAAATTCAAGAAAGAGAGATTTGAGTTATTTTGTAAATTTATAGGCAAGGCAAGGCGAGTTTATTTGTATAGCACAATTCAACAACAAGGTGATTCAAAGTGCTTTACAGAGACATTAGAAACAAAAACAAATAAAAAGTTTTTATTTTATAGCCAAAAGTACAAAATAAGCCCAGAAGGCCTGTGTGACACTTGGGTGACAAACAGTTCATTCTGTTCAATAGAAAATCTCTGGTTTAGGATAAACTGACCAGTCTAGACAAATATATACAGGTCAGAAACAGTCATTCCTCCCTGGCTATGCACATCAACAGGTAACAGGAATTTTACATCAGGTCCATTCTGTGCCAATGCCAAAGACATCAAGCCTCCCTGATGGTAGTGAATCATTGGTAATTAGCTGGAGTAGCCAGCCACTGTTGCTTGTGGAGAAATCAGTATCCTCCACATCCTTCACAGCTCTTACAGACTGGTACCCAGTGGGTTTACTGGGTCTTAATACCCTCTTAACGCTCTTACCCTGATAGTCCATGTGGTACTGATACTCTACAAGCATAATCATGTGCCTTCTTACCCCTACTCACCCAATCACACCAAAGAGCAGCACAGCCAGGGGCAGAAAGCAAAAATGAAGGCTTTTACTTCTCCTCTCACTCTATCGCCATGAATAATTCAACTCCATCTAAGCCTGAGACCATTTTTTTTCTCCAACGTTCCCTGAAGCATGAAAAGACAGCGCAGACTCCACGGTGGCTGCCAGGGGGTTCATAAGCTCCTCATACCTAACATAAATCCACTCCTGATTACAATAAGATCACATTAGGCCATACAACCAGAGCTCGTGCTGTAAGCACAGATGTGCATATAGTGTTTAAAAGGCACACAGGGCCCTGTGTTATCTGCTCAGGAATACTACAGAAACTGATAAACTACATGACAAATCTGCTGACAAAACAGTTCAAGTGATTCTACAAAAACAACCCATTTAAATATCAGCAGAGCTGAATGTGACCAGTTAAATGATCTCAGTGCACAGAGCGGACCAGCAACTCCCGTGACCTGAAACTGAAGCGGAAGAGTAAAAAAAACCTTTCCAACTTATCCTTTACACTTGAGCATCAACATATACCACGCAAGCAAAAAACTCAACTCCGAGCAAATTAAACATGAATATGAAGAGATGCTAAATGTCAGACTTCAAACTTTGCTTTTTACCATTTTGCACAAATGTCACATTCCAGCTGGAAGCCAAACAACCATCGAGGACAAACTCAAATGAACAGCAATACACAAAAATCAAATGGGAATGGAATATTTCTTGCACAGCAAATACAACACCTGCCAGCTGAGGTACTCTGTTCTCCTTCAACATGAAAGGAATGAAGAAAACTTACCTGTGGTGGTGTCAGTGGATGGTTCCCATTATCCAATCACATAGAAGAAGAAAGAAAACAAACAAATCAGTTTCTTGTGTCAGTCAGCCCTCC